GGGGGGGAGGTAGAATAACTTCTAGTTGCTTCATGCTATGGAAACCGGAGTTAAAAACCAGCCTGACAGGTGATTTAGCTCATTGACAGACTTTAGTTTGCATCTGTTATCAACTGAAAAATCAACCTGAACAAATAGATTTACAAACTAATGCTTACTCTGTCACCAATGGGACCTTGATTTCCCTAAAAAGTAAAACAAAGAGGAAGAATATGTTTTATTTTCTAAACTTAACTGATTTAATGTTTTCTTTTAGCCAAGAACAGAATGTTAAATGATCAGTCACTAACAAGTCAATAAACAAAAAAAATACTGTATGAATAAAATTATGTTTGATAGAAACATGCATGCAAGCATGTTGTTTAGTATTCATGGTAATTAACTGCTGGCATTCAGCAACTACACTTTATTAACTTACAATCTTCTTGCGGATAAATTCCTATTAGCTGTGAAAAACTGGCAAGTAAATTCAAAAGAATCCTCTGTAATTAAATACTTACAGGTATACCAGGAGGGCCAACTTCTCCAGGAGGACCCTAAAAGAATGGCACAGGTGTCAGACAAGTGTATCTAACACATATTACCTGCACAAGTTCTAGATGATAACTTCTAGTTCTAATAGGAAGTTTTTTCTGAGAACATTTTCACAGCAATACAACACAATTGCAGGAAAAGCTTACAGAAAAATGCATGACTTGTTGTTCAACTGGGCATTTTACTGGTTTTGCAAATACTTGTACTTGTACACTGCCATAGTTGTAATAAGTTAACCCTCTTGAGAGCCCCTCTAGAGAAAGTGTGGTGACAAACCAAAATGAAAACCACGAGATAGGCTTCTTTTCCAATATCAAACAAGCCAATCAACTGCTTTCAAAGTACTTACTTTTGGTCCCATATCTCCCTTGGGTCCTTGGTCTCCCTAACAGAAAAAAAAAAAAAAATGAGCTATCAGCATAAATTTAATCACTTGAGGGAATAGGTGAAGGAGGATGTAGTGGATATGGTAGATAGAGTTTTTCCTCAATTAATAACGATACCAGGAGCCCATTTAAAATTTTGGCTAAAAGAGTTTGGGAGGGGAGGGGCATTTATGAGAAGGAGGACACTTAATTGACAGGGGGGGTGCAAATGAAGAAACTATTACTCTGTAATGATTCAGCTGTTGTTGAAGTGTAAAAAGTTATAAATCAAGTGGCAATAGAAACAGCTCTTCCTTGCACCTCTAGAATTTAAGAAAGTGAGCAAGGAAGGGAGTCCTTATTTGAAGGGGAGCTTGTTTGAAATTATGGCCTAGAGGGTGAGTGCTTATTCAAGGAAAATCCTTATTAGAGCATGGGGTCTTATTTGAGAAAATACAGCACTTCAATGAAGGTAATTACTACTTTCATGTTCCAAATTTTGGATAAAGTGGTGAAAAACAGAAATCTTTCAAATTCAGTGTCAAATGTTTGACATGAATAAGGACCTTGTGTTGAAGACAAAGTGCATTGTTTTGTGTTTATTTAAATTATCTAAGTTGGACCATCTGAGAGGCTTCATTTGGACAAGGCATTTACCAGAGCTCCTTTTGTTGCAGTAACAGGACCATCCTAAGGGTCACCCTAGAAAAAATATCAAAAAAACAATGCCAGATTAATAATTCATAATTCTTAACTAACTCAAATGAGATAACTGAGCAATCAACTTAGGTAACATGATTGATTCACAGCTGTATCAAGTAACTGTCAAATAGAAAACATGGCACTACTTAGTACTACTGTGTTTTAGTATTAGTCTAATAACTTGCTGAACAATAGTTACCTTTTGTTAAACACAAATTTTAAGGGGAAAAAAGAGATGTCCCATCAAAATGTTACAGAATTACTGTTGAAGAACTGACACCACTGCTATATGGATTTTCGTTAGTCAACGATAGTAAATGATAGGTATATGCTTAACTTTAATTTCCAACATTTGAATATCAATTCCCTTACTTTTCTGCCAGATGTTTCTTAAAATTTTAGCTCAGGGAAATTTATGTCAAACCAAACAATGTACTCTGGTTGCCTCAAACTTTATTGAATTTGAACTGAGAAATTGCCATTTGGTCTCTCCTTAGACAGAAAGGATCAAATGTGATACCTTGAGGCCTTTGGATCCTTGATCTCCAGGAGTTCCTGCTATCCCAACTCGACCATCTACTCCAGTGCGGCCAGGTTCTCCCTTAATACAAGAAAACACTTGAGCAATTAACACATCGAAAACATTTGGACGTATTTCATGATTGAACGGTTGTATTCAAAACAATTAGCCTAGGTCTTCTGCATTCCAACTTTTACTTCCTTATGAGTTACACCTGGTTTTGTTCGTCAAACGAAGGTTTTAAGTCTATAAGAACCAAGGCAATGTAGTAACTCTGACTTTCAATTTCAATTGGGCCCCCATAAGCTTCTAAACACACAATCATGCAATCTTCAATCTATGCTAAACTCAACGTTAATCCAACTGCACATTCTGGCTCCATGGATCTGTGCCATTAATTAAACTTCCACCCTTTCTTTGGCAATCTAACCCCACTTTTCTTTCTTTTTTTTTTTTCACAGCCTGCTACATGTTTTTATTTGCAAAGATCTTGTAATCCAGTTTTAATTGTGAATAACTGTATTTCTGGCTTATAAAAGTTGAATGTCCAATAAAATTAAATAGTTCAAAATCACCAAAAACACACACAAAAACAAATCAAAAGACAAAAAAATGAATAAATAAAAAAAAAAAACAACAACAAAAAACCTATTTTAACCTCTAAGGCCTATTTGTTAACAGAAATAATATACAAGTATTGTAATGTTACTTCAGTACAAAAACTTTTTTTTTCTTAGCTATTGTGTGCTGGGTGGTAGATGTTATTTCTCTTTAACCACATGTACCTTATCCCCATCACATCCACAAAGTCCCATGAAACCTTTTGGTCCAGCTATTCCTGGGACTCCCTTGAAGTAAGTGGATTAAAATAATATTTTAATGATGATGTACCATATGCTAGTTTAACATACACACGCAGAATGAGAAAACGTGCTCTTTTAATACAAATTGTTACAATAAGTTAGTCCTACTTCACTTGTCATGTTACCTGTTTCCTTATTTGGAAATAAAATAAAGCAGTTGTGGTTCACAGAGTTTGTAGTTTGTATGCCATAACACAAATGCTGGTTGAAATTCCAATACTTACTGGTATACCATGGATGCCAGGAAATCCAGGCACTCCAATCATTCCCTAAAATAAAAAAAAATGAAGATACATTTTAACAAAGAAAGAGTTCCAGACAATGCACTGATTTGGAGAAATGAAAGACTTGTATTAGAAAACCTTAGCAACATTTCCTACAAAGAAAACATTTCAGGAAATCAAGGCTGTGCTCTAAGGAAAATTGAATGGAGCCCAGTGCTCTGAAACTGTGAAATCCAGGGTGCGCAGCATATGCTTTTTATGAAAAAACTAAAATTTGGGAGTCACCCAACAACAAAATTAAAGTGCCAGAGGCCACTGGGCACTGCTAGATCATGGCACTAGAAACACTCACTGCCTGGCAGCAAAAAAAAAAAGGATTTTTGTTTGGGATCTGGTCTCCTTCTAGCATTTCAAGGTCTCTTTCTATCTTGATCAACCCTTTCCCTATTCTCCACAATGTCTGCCATTCATTTCTTATGATTTTAGCCCTGAGATCAAACTATATATCCTATGAAATGAAATTTTTTTTTTCTTTTCTGACCCCTCTAAGAAGGATTTTAAGATTTTCTTCTACTGCACATTGTTGCTCTTCTTGATAGAATTCCCTCTGCTGAAAGCGTTGCTCCTTTCTTCATCTTTTACCATTACAAACAACTGCTAGTTTAGTTAATAAAACTTTGCATCTCAAAGTGTGCTATTTTCAGAGTTAAGTGAGAAAATCCTTTGCATTTACCTGATCACCTTGAGTTCCTGTAGGGCCCTGTACTCCAGCCTCTCCCTAAAATACAAGAAAACAAACAATATTTAAGCATGCATGGTCTGGTGCAACCTGCCCTCACAGGCACTTCCTTTATGCACACTCCCCCCCCTCCCCATAAGAGACAAAAAAACTGATATCCATCAAACAAATGAAAACTGAAATTTTCTCACTCCTGGGTTTGTATACACATAAAGAGAAGAGGAGAAAAGATTTCTCTGCTAGGAAAGAACATGACAACCGAGTGCTATGCTCGGTCTTTTGATCAAATGTTCCTAAATGCTTGCCAGTTATTGTAGGTGTGTCATACCTGATAAAGAGGAGAGGCCTATTGAAAAGGAGGCTTGGAGCTACAAATGGGCCTTGCTTAGATTTCTTAGTTTTTGCAACCATTTTGTCTGGCACATAGCATTTTTTGTTTTCAATCAGATTTTAATATCGTACACTTTATCAATCTCTGAGCTTCTCTCAGGTAAAATATGTTTTGTGTTAAAACAATCATTATCAAACAAATTTTTGACAAAAACCCCATTGTTATATATTCCAAGTAAGATTACCTGAAAATGCAAACTAAAAACCCTAAGTGTAACTGGGGGTTCTCTCGTTTGAAATGATGAGGAACACTGAACACAAACATTACTCAGAACAGTGCTTTGCTGCAATACCAGTGAAAGGTTAAGAGGAGGAGAGGGGCATGGCCTTGCAGTATCACTCCAATTTTATTATACCCTTACCGTCGAAATTTCTAGTTCTACTACTGGCACTCATGTAGACAACTCATATGCAATTTTTCACCAAAATTATTATCAAAAACAAATCTGGAAATATCACCTTGTAACCCTTGGGGCCTTGTAATCCATTTTTTCCAGGAGGACCCTACAAGGCAAAGACAAAAGCAAAATATTGGAAACACAATCACCATTAATTAATAAAGGGGCCCACTCAATCAACTCAGGGCTTGACACTAACGGTAGCCAACTGGCCACAGACTAGTACAAATTTAGTTTTGGCTAATGGTTTTCAATTTCCACTAGCCAGTTTGGCTAGTAAACAAACTAAAACTGTTGAAAAGTCAGCATCAAGCCCTACAATTCCTCCCTTTTTCATTTTCATTGGAAAACCATTTACAATCATTGTCATAAAAACAAATACTGTACAATAAAGTGACTCAAACTTAATTTTATTGATTAATTCAAAGGATAGGAGATCCCAGAGCAGAGGGAAATGAGAATGGGGGATTTCCTGATACATGTGTACAATATCATTGACTCCCTGATATTCATTGAGAAGGCACTATAGCCAAGTGGTTAGGGCGCTGGCCTGGTTAACTGGCAGCCACAGCCTCAAGCCCTTCACCCTGTAAGTTACAAAACATTCTACAATTGTTTAATTTGTTTCTTGTGTTCAGTCCACGCGGGACTGGTACAATTACATCATTTAAATTGTTAAATGATGTAACTTATTCTTATAATTAACAAATGGTAAACACCACAGCATACACCATTGAGTTATGGATGCACGCGGGAAGTTGCTAAGCACGAAAGAAACGTAAGAGTCGCTCGGGGCTATCGCCTTGAG